TTCAGGACAACAAACTTTTGCTGTATCAATACACAACCATTCATAGAAATTATCAATTAAATCTGGGGAACTTGTTTGATACCATTCTTCAATTTGATCTTCATATTTTTCAAGAAAAGTACTGCACTATATAAATAAAACACAAAAGACATTAATATGAAGAAAAAAATCAATTTAAATTGAGAAAACAATATATTTAAATCAGTATTTTTAAATAAATTAGTGAATTGAATGATTTATCAATAAATTACATTAAATGATCAATTAATGATGAATTTGATTTGCTAATAGATTTAAAGACCAGTAAATAAGGTATACAATATATAATGTCAAAGAGTAACTTTAGGAAATTGAACATGCATTATAATATGATTGACTTTTTGTTCTTCTTTTTATTTGCTTACACAGTGTAGTAAAGATGATGTCATAACATATATATTTGTACTCTGTATTTCTATCCTTTACTTCCAACTTCAGTTTAGAGTTCACAAGGTAAAAAAGGTGGACGTGATACAAGTTGCTCAATATGAAAATGATATAGCAAATGAAGAGGTCATGAAAAAAAAATCAGGGCTAAATAAGCTTGATCTTACACATGTCTAGTTGTGGACTTTAATGCAAAGCAAGTGTTTATCTACTATCTCATGTGGACAGTGCAAAAAGTCACTGTCTATAAAGTTGAAGCTGAGCACGATGATCATATAGAGCGTGTAATTGCTAGATGGAGTTGAATGCGAATGAAATAAAAATTCACTCAAACTCACATCCATATCCTATTTCATTCGAAAAGACTCCTTCTTCTAAAATCAATATTTTTCATCTGTATAAAATGTATTATTTTACTGGTAATTATATGTAATAAACAGATTATTATGTAATCAAATACTGATCATTCGTATATTCTTTTTATTAATCAACTACATCATAGCCATAAACTTACTTGAGATTCCGTTTTTGAACATGAACTTTCCAGTATTTCGATTAGACGAGTTTCACTAAAAATCAAATTTAGAATTTTTCATTGATTTAATCAATTTAGAATTCATGCAACTAATTAAAAATGACTTAAGAATTGTTAGTCATAATATTCTTTCTTTCATTTAAAAACAAATTCTACTAAACTTCTCGAAATTTAATCCTGTCTGATCATTCATTACATTTGAGCGTCTCTATTGCTAAGCATATCGTTAGTGCAAGAAGCTTTACACTAGACTGTATAGACAGTTTCATCATCACGCTCATAATCCTTAGTTAAATAATGTAAGTTAACTGATCGATTCGTCAATAGACACATTCGACAATGTATGGCTGTCATTAGATATTCGTCATGAACTTCTGGTAGTTTGAAAGAAACTCAAAATAATCATCCTTCAAAAAACCTACGAAATGAACTTCAAGAAAATTGATGTACTATCAATAGTCTTTCTTGTTTTTCAGATATCTCTTGATAAGCTTTAGTAGAATCTCATTCTCTGATCTAAAGTATCCCATATCATCTGTTTTATATTTGATGCAACAACACGTGTCAAATCTTTCAAGTAATGGATTATTTTTATGTAATCTATATGAGAGCGTTGAGTTCATCAGTTTGTAGCTCAATAAATAAAATTCCTACCGAGAAAATGATTGATGATCAACTTATTTACATAAAGAACGAATGAAATATTCATTGCTCAGTAATATTTTACGAAAAAACATTACATATGATGTTTCATTTAGGAGGCTTAATACAATTAATGACCGAGATGTAAAAATAACTAAACATCGGAACCTTCAAAAAGAAGTCGTGAAATAGCGAACAGCTTAAGAAGGTCATTTGTTTGAAGAGCTTTGTTTAAATAAACATTTTATTTGAGTTCTTCTTGTCTATATAGAATGAAACTAAACTTGGTTAATATTAGAATTGATTTATCGCATCAGTACGACCGAATTTTTTTCTTAATCCTATTCAATTTTTCGAGGATAATCGAGTAATACAATACCGAAAGCCAATAGAAAAAAGAAAATTATTTAACAATGTTCATTAAATTTTCGAATAGCTCGTAATCAACATAAATCCTTTGAAGTCACAAAATTTATTCTGATGAAATAGCATTAGAATTGCATTGATGCTATTGTCATAATTTCTTAGTAATTTATACCAATAGTCACACTGGTTTATTCTTCATTATCATATTACTAACTAAGAAACATGAAATATCTATAATCGATCAGAATCAAAATTTCAAAAGGAAAAGAAATCTCAATTCATCGATGAGGCTGTTTCCAAAAAACCTATCATTGAATAATTACCTTTTTGCATATCCTTTCAATTTTTTCTCTTCCCAATCTGTATTACCTCTAAACAAAAAATCGAACATAACAATTGTGAACAAAATTCCTTAACTTATATAATTCTTACCCTCCAAAATTACTTTTAGCTGTCTTTTTATAACCCTGTAATATTCACGAAGACAAATTGTTTTTCTTTCATACAATATTAAAAATTCAAAACATACTTCAACAAATTTCTCACTTATTGTTTTACATGTAACACATGGATCAGCATCAAATAAATTGCCTGGCATCATCATAGCTGAGCATGTTGAATGAAGTAAAATAACAAGAAGACATAAGAAAAATACTAATCGATTTGGTATATGAATAATAATTAGAAGAAATGACATTTTTATTTTGTTTATAAATTTGAGCAAAGACTGATTTTTTTATTAGTATTTTCTATCTGAAAGAAGAAAGAAAAAAAGAAAAAAAAAGAAAAAGTATTTTTTATAAGAACAGAAAACATATTAAAAAGAAATTAATGTCAAAATAAAGAATTCATTCATGTTTTTTTTGTTGTTGACGAATTCGATGATAAACAAATTCAAATTCATTTGAATATGCACTTTCATTACTGGATATTGAACAAACATTCTCTGTCTAAAATAGAATAGATAAAAAACAAATTTTATTTTTTCTTAGTTCTCGTTTTTATAAAATATACTTCATCAATTTTTTGTCGTTGTCGTGCAAGAATTTGTTCTAATTTTGTTTGTTCACGCATCCGTTCATCTTCACGTTTCTTTTCTTCATCACGTCGATGTTTAAAAACATTAAATAACTCAGGTTTTTTTGGTAACAATTGTCCCCTAAAAAATATCAAGAATTCTTTATATTAGAACACAAGAAAACATGAGAAATCTTAAAATTTACATTTTTTGCTTATAAATTAATTCTTTATGTAATTCTTTTTTAGAATTAGATTGTTGCTGTGTAAGATGAGGTTTTAATGGAATTAATTCATTTGATATTAAAGATGATGGTGTTGGTAAACGATAATAATAATGTTCAGTTGCATCATCCGATAAATATGTTGGAATATATGGTGGAGTATGATCTTCATATTTCGATGCAGCGTTGTTATCTGTATTAGTTTGAATTGAATCATAACATATTTGATCATAAACATTCGTTTGACTACTCATCCAACTTTGATGACCTGATGATATTCCACCATCAGAAGAACCTAAAGTATAGAAAAAATTCATTGTTGTTCATGAAGTATTATGTTATATATATATTTATACTTGAATGACTATTTGTATCTTTTGATGAAACAGATTCACTAGCAAATGCTTCATCATATGTTGAATAAACATGATCATCAACATGATTCTATAATAATTGAAGAATAAAATTAAATGAGTAAATAATTAAGAAATATTCCTTTTTCAATTCAAGATGTTCATGCGACCAAACATGCGTTTCTTTTTTTTTCTGATACACTTTCAAGCTTACCGCAAATCGACAGAGCAATAATGCTCGCTAAAAATAAGTTTAGAAATAAAATAGAAAAATCTGATATATTTTGTTTTTTTTTTGTTTAGTTTCTTTTATTTTCAAGAAAATATCTAAATTATAATTATGTTTACCCAGCGTCGTAGACGATTAAACGGCATCGATTTTGTAGTGTATCCCAGATATACAATGAGTATATACTAATAGAGTTGACCTGTCCGCTTTACTTGAGCCTCTTTTTTTCCTATGTTCTCTTATTGTACACAATCAATAAGGTTAAAAAGGGAGACAAAAAAAGCTTTACTATTGACATACATAACAATCATCAGTATTGTTGTCATTCATGGATAGATTAATTGATAGTTTGAAACTTACTCGAACGAATTTTTTCACTCGAAACATAGGTAAACGTTTATTATTGTTGTAATTTACATATGCAGACAGACACCACAATAAGGATGAAAAAAAAGAAAAATTGTCAATCGACTGCAACCTACGATTACGTGATATACAGAAAAAAGTCTCTCGTTCTCTCATTGCGTTTCTCTTAGGTATTACATCATACATACTTTTCAACCTCTCGTGTGACAATTCACCACGAAAAAAAAGTTATTTCATAACATCTCTACATCGAGAGTAGGTTGGTTGAACGAACAAGACTTTTTATCCGGTTGCATGCACTCGACTACTTTTTTCAGTCTGTATAAAAGGAAAAGAAGCAAAAAAATAAGTATATGGACGTTATTACCACAAAAAGAACTATTTTCACGCATACACATGTTTACAAATTGGCGTCGTTCTTGACTAGTGAAAAATTATCCTTGATCAGATCAATTAAAATAACATTTTCACACACATATACTGTTTGATTTATGAATTTAAAAAAAGACATGAAAATAAATATGCTGATAAAAACTAATGAAAAAAAACAACGTAAAAAATGATTTTATATAATAATGATTCATTTATCCACTGAATAGACATCACTATTATATATTTTTTTTTCTTCTATGTCGGTTATGCATGATTTGGTTTTCTTTTTTCTCCATGGCCATACATAATTTGGTTCGTCATTGATGCACATTTATACTTGAAAATAGACAGAGGTTTACTTAAGTTATTATATTCAACCTTCGCTATTCATTCTCGTTCTTTGTGTCTATATTGATACTTGCATTGTTCACGTTTATTGGATGTGAAAGCTTTCAACGTTTACAATAAATATGTTATTTAGTGGAGTGTATCATAGCTCATCAGAAGAGGTTCTTTCCGATGGTGAAACGACATCATCAATAACATCAGATGCTACATCAAGAACAACGACAAGCGATACTTGGTATGATGTTAAAAGTGATTTTGAACAACAACCAATAACACAGTTTGATCATACTACAGAGGCGAATATAAGAATGAAAACATTTGATGATCATGATGAAGATTTAATTAGGTCAATCAATGACATATATATCGATGGTGGTACTACCGAAGACATAGACAATATGAGAGCTACTGAAAATAATCTCCATGATATTCCTAATCAACATAACCAGAAACAAGACACACCAAAAGAGTGGGTGAATCCATATTGGGGTATTCATCGGTTACCGACAACGAAAGTAACAGGGCCACGAATTCAAGGAAACATAGAAAGTTCTAAAACTCACCGGTAAGAATATTTTAATTATTGATTATTTTTGTTTTTAACTTATATTTACAAGGATGCACTATTTGGTGTTTTTTTAATAGTGCGTCATCAAACACAACAATACAGCAACTCATACCCGGTTCTATTTTAATTAATGATAGAGACGAAATCGAAGACCCATTATGGAAACAGAGAAATTCAAGCGTTGAATCTTTAACATCTAGCAATTCATTTCATCCCGGTGGACAATATATATCAGATGAACGCGGTGGTCGAGGAGGTTTTCTTGCACCAACGCATGTTCAACATCACACTGCAGCAATACCGTCTGATTTACCTGAAAATTCTACAGATAATTTTACTTATAAACAATATAATTCATCGTCTGATGATAGTTCTCGCATGCAATCACCATTAAATCATGAGCAAACTTCATCAGAACCAGACATCTACGAAAATAAACAATGGGAAAATTCATATTGGTTAGCATCAAATGAACTAGATACTGAACTCACTACAGATACGACAACAAGCTCGACTCCTTCTCTTATTTCTGGCCTTCAACAGAAGGAGACTTTATTTCCAAAAGAGGAGTCAATTTCTCTTTTACAAAATACTGATTCAGAGCCACTATCAAGTTCAATTGAAATACCTTGGCCCCATACTAATTGGGAGACAAAACTCATTGGACATCCAACATCAGCAACAGATGAAACGCAATCAACAACATCATCGACCGGATCTTGGAAACATAACGAATCTCACACACCAACATTCGAAAACCAACAAGACGAAACATCGAGGCATTCAGCTACAGAAGATAGTGCATCGGACGACTTCATGTCTCCTGAACAAAACAATAGTTCCTCGGAACATCTCTCTTCGGACGATGAAAAATCCAACACCTCGGCACCTGCTAGGCAAGAAGACCTATCGAAGGATAATCCAAATTCGAGACACAATACATCTGAAGCAACAATATCCTCAAAACAATCAGATACACCGACAGCAACTGTCGATTGGAACCACTATCAATCTCATGCTACGACATCATCAAAACACCAAGACACACCCTGGGTGAATCCATATTGGAAAGATTATAAGCCTCACATTATTACTTCGTCAAAAGCACAAGATAAACCGTGGGTTAATCCGTATTGGAAGGACTATAAGTCTCATAGTGCTACGCCGTCCAACCAACAAGATAAACCATGGGTAAATCCTTATTGGAAAGACCAAAAGTCTCCAACTGTCATCCCGTCAAAACAACAACAGAAACCATGGGTGAATCCTTATTGGAAAGACTATACGCATCATATTCCTAGCATGTCGAAACAGCGCGATAAACCATGGATCAATCCCTACTGGACCGACTATCAGTCTCGACCTGTCACAACGTCAAAACAACAAGATAAACTATGGGTCAATCCGTATTGGAAGGACTATAAGCCTCATACGACTACAACATCGCAGCAGCAAGAAAAACCATGGGTGAATCCTTATTGGAAAGACTATAAGCCTCGAACTACCATGCCGTCAAAACAACAAGAGAAACCCTGGGTCAATCCTTATTGGAAGGACTATAAGACTCACACCGCTACGACGCCAAAACAACAAGCTAAACCATGGATCAATCCTTATTGGAAAGACTATAAGTCTCGAGCTGTCAGGCCGCCAAAACAACAAGATAAACCATGGGTCAATCCGTATTGGAAGGACTATAAGCCTCGAACTGTCACGCCGTCAACACAACAAGATAAGCCTTGGGTAAATCCTTATTGGAAAGATTATAAGCCTCGAACTGTCACGCCGCCAAAACAACAAGATAAGCCTTGGGTCAATCCTTATTGGAAAGATTATAAGCCTCGAACTGTCACGCCGTCAAAACAACAAGATAAACCATGGATCAATCCGTATTGGAAGGACTATAAGCCTCGAACTGTCACGCCGTCAAAACAACAAGATAAGCCTTGGGTCAATCCTTATTGGAAAGATTATAAGCCTCGAACTGTCACGCCGCCAAAACAACAAGATAAACCATGGGTCAATCCGTATTGGAAAGACTATAAGCCGCGAACTGTCACTCCGTCAAAACAACAAGATAAAGCATGGGTCAATCCGTATTGGAAGAACTATAAGCCTCGAACTGTCACGCCGTCAAAACAACAAGATAAGCCTTGGGTAAATCCTTATTGGAAAGATTATAAGCATCAAACTGTCACTCCGTCAAAACAACAAGATAAAGCATGGGTAAATCCTTATTGGAAAGACTATAAGCCTCGAGCTATCACGCCGCCAAAACAACAAGATAAACCATGGGTCAATCCGTATTGGAAGGACTATAAGCCTCGAACTATCACGCCGTCAAAACAACAAGATAAGCCTTGGGTAAATCCTTATTGGAAAGATTATAAGCCTCGAACTGTCACGCCGTCAAAACAACAAGATAAAGCATGGGTCAATCCGTATTGGAAGGACTATAAGCCTCGAACTGTCACGCCGTCAAAACAACAAGATAAAGCATGGGTTAATCCGTATTGGAAGGACTATAAGCCTCATACGGCTACGATATCGAAACAGCAAGATAAACCATGGATCAATCCTTATTGGAAAGACTACAAGTCAAGAAGTGTCACGGCGTCGAAACAACAAGAGAAGCCATGGGTTGATCCGATTCGAAAAGACTACAAGCCTCATACCGTCACGGGGTCGAAGGTGCAAGATAAACCATGGGTCAATTCACTCTGCAGCGACAATAAAAGGCCAATGTCGACTTTGTCGAAGACGCAAGATATTCTATGGGTGAATCCCTATTGGAAAGATTGGAAGCCAGGAGGTTTGAATAGATCCCAACAATACCAGAATGTACCTTTCGCAAGTGGTAAGTGGCAAACTAGTGCATCACAAACTTCAACAACTACTAAGCAAGGAAGTTTGGAAGGAGCGAAACAACAGGATAAACCATGGGTTAATCCGTATTGGAAAGACTACAAGCCTGATACTATGAAGCCTTGGAAACCACAAGATAAACCGTGGGTTAATCCATACTGGAACGATAATAAAACTCCAAGGTCGATTACTTTGCAGAAACAAGGTATACCATGGCAGAACCCCTATTGGAAAGATTGGAAGCCAGGCTCATTTAGTACTTCGCAACAGTACCGAAATGTGCGTTTCAAAAGTCCGAACCGGCATAGTGGTGCATCACCAAGTTCAGAAACTGGTGAACAACGGGATTTCAAAGAAGCAAAACTGAAAGATAAACCATGGGTGAATCCATACTGGGACAACAATAAAACGTCAACGTCGACTTTGTCGAAGAAACAAGATATACCATGGCAGAACCCCTATTGGAAAGATTGGAAGCCAGGGTATTTTAATAGATCCCAAGAGTACCAACATTTAGGTTCGAAGAATCCTCAGGCGCAAAATGATCGACCGCAAACGGCTGGAACTACTAAAGTTGAAAGTTTTGGAAAGACGAAAGAAAAGGATAAGGCGTGGGAGAATCCTTATTGGAAGCATGAGCATATATCAAGTACTGTACCAAGATGGACATCGAGTGCATCAAAGAGAAGCAAATATGGCATCGAATTAACTAATGCATGGATAACGGACAATGTGTCGCCTCCTGATCATAGAGTTCCACCTATTCCATCATTTTATAAACGCATCTACCCTGTTAATATACCCCCAGCTTCAATTCCACTGTCGACAACGATTAAGAAAAATAAATCACAACCTGATAAAGAACCGATGCATCTGGGGTCGAGCAGTATTCCAGATGAAATATACAACAACGGTGTAAAGAACGATGATGATTTTTCACCATATACAATTGATCGTCAAGGAATAGCGCACTACCAGTCACAACCGTCATCATCTTTTATGACCGAAAATAAAACAGTTCAGTTCGCTACTTCTCCATCAACTACTGAGAACCGAATGTCATCTACATATTCCACTAATACTATTCCAGTACAGGAAAAACATACCATGGCACCAAAATCATCTATGTCTAATGTTACAACACAATATCTAGCAATTAAAACAACTCCTTCGTCTACAACTAACTCTCGACTATTGGAACCTTTGAATTCTCTACATGCTTCATCATATTCACCAACCAATTATCCATCATCAACTCATTCTCGAGTACCTCTAATCACTCTAGACGAATTACATGATATTCAACATGCGCTTCGTTTATTGGAGATCAACCCAAATGCTATACCTACTATAGAAACATCTCAACAACATATAGCAACAGTTTATGCTAATGATGAAAAAGCTCCTCATCTACCGGTTAGATCTTTATTTACAAATAACGCTAATAAGCAATCTATACAACAACCATCATCATCATCATCCTATCCGCGAAATGAGCAATCCACTTTTTTGTCTAATACTAAATCTCAACAATCGCCAATAGCGTCTTCATCAAAGAATTCCTCAAATCCGAACGACATTTTCAATAGATTTATTCAACCAGGATCTTTCAATCATATTTAATAAAACTATTCTTTTTTTTTAAATCGTTTCTTTTATCATTTTTTTTATCATATTTTATTAAAGAAAACAAAATAAAATTTTTTCAAGGTTTTTTTGTCATTCTAAAACAAAATCCTCTCTAGAAGGTTCTCAAAGAAGTGTGACAAATAAATATTTGTGTATTCAACATGAAAATTATTTACTCGGATAGAAAGTCACTAGAGGAAAAAACACAGACTTTGAAACAATCTCACCTGTAAAAATATTATTCTTCACAGTAGACTTGATCGTGAACACGATAATAAAATCAACATCAAGATGAACAAACTAGTTGTTTTGAGCATAAGTTCATCATTCAATAAGCAATAATATTCGTACACATGTACTACAAATAGCAACTCAAACAACCAACCAAGACGTTTTGAATTTTTATTTGACAAACAGTAAAACGAATCGTTGGATGACTTCTCATTTTCTTCATTCAGGTGTAGGTATGGAGACACAAACCATTTATGGATATAGATGCCGTACTTGCTCGAATGTTATTTCATATATGATTTTTACGTTCGAAAGTTAAATTCGAATCAGAATCGTAAGGGAGCACTCTAGCTAGAGGTGAAATTTTGTGTAGCTGAATTTTAAAAGTACGGATAAGGGCGTCACACCTTTGTGCAGATGTTTAAGAAAAATTCAAAAAATACTAAAAGAACAAATTCTGATAATCATTTATATTATAATGAACACATATAAAGATAATTGAAAACGGTCAATCTAGGTTACCTACAGATAATGAATATACTTTCAGATGTTTCTTGTAATAGATTTCATCATATTCTCGACTCAATTATTAGGAATATTCAAATTAACTAAAGGAATAAAAATGATCATGTTTTTTTTCTGTTGATTAACATCAATAGTATCATAAACATTGAGATACGCATTTTGTTGGAAAAATTCAATTTATGAACATACTAAACCTTATTTTAATAATTGATATTGATGATGAAATGAATTCAAATTTCTTTTTTAAGTTTTTGAATTTATCTTAATGTCGTAGAAAATAATTCAGTCTCATATAAAGTATAAAACGCTTAATAAATATGATATCTAATAAGATAGTTTCATGGATTACTATTGATTAAAGTAGATTTAACTTGACTCATGAACAAACAGGGTTGACTCATATTATGCCCTATACAAATGTTAATTTTGTAATTTCTTCATGTAATATGCAATTTAATAAAGGTTGACAATTACTTTTCTTTCCTTTTTTATAGTTTCATATTATGTAAGACATCGTGACAAAAGTAAACGTGTTAATAAACCTTTTCTTTCATGTTATTATAAGTAATAAAAATTGAACTATATGAAATTTTATCTTTCCATCACGCACTTTTCGTTATTTGATCTTGTTACATAAACACAAGATATTAAATCATCTTACTATAAAATTTTTAGCATAGAAACTGTTTCATCAACTTGAACATTTTGATTCATTTCTAAAAGTAATCAAAGTTTCTATTGTAGAATCTTTTTTATGTAAGTCTATTTAACCTTTGAGTTTAAAGTGCACTTCATATTCTGTGAGTACGGTAACTTTTGTTCATGCACGTGAAGGCCTTTTTTACGTTCTAGAAAAAATGTGCCTCGTTTCTCTTGCCTACTTGTAAGTAAAGTACGGTTGAAATACACGCCACGTTGTTTTACACCGTTTATTATGTATATATAAATACTACTATATAAAAATGACTGATTTAAAGTAAATTTTATTATTGATCATTTGTCAAACTAGCACCATTTTTTCATTTCAAACTATATTCAATACATTTGAAGACGTAAAATATTATTAATAATTCAACTAATCAATATTTGACATTCAGGCAAATATTCGTTGCAATTAATAAAATTTTTACACGAAATCTCAATCAAAAAGAAAACTTCTGATAATGAATGATCATCTGAATTGTTGTTCTGCATATTTCTATGCAAGATTTACTAATGACGATACATTATTAGGTAAGCAGATAACATGTTTTTTTTTCTGTGAGAATTGGTCATAATAATTGCCTGAGAATCGGTCTTCGAGTTAGTTTGAACTTCATACTCAGAAAGATATTCTTTATTTTAGAAAAGACATATCTTTTAAAATGAAGTTTTTCTTCAAAGAACATTATAACAATAAATGAACACTAGAGTTCATTGCCATTTTCTTTTCAGTATGACTTGATCGTTACCGTTTTGTTCTATTGCGTGTCTAACGAATAAGAACTTATTCGTTATGATATAGATTCAGCTGAAGTTATGAAATGGTTCAATAAAGACTATTGTCGAGGGTAATGACAAAATCATTCTTTTAGTTTATCCCAGAAATACCTCCCGGAAGAAGATCTTAATAACTATTTGCAAGATGAATTAAAAACTATAGTCTGTTCAAAAAGTCCGTGCGTGTGACTATTTTTTGAATAACTCGAGAAAGCAAACAGCTAGAGACCTGCGGTTTTCACCAATCGAAAGAGGAGGAGTTAGGACGTCTTTTTCTCTGATAATGTGTCAGACGAAATTCTTTTAAAACTGATCATCTTTGAAAAATATAGAAAAGAATGCATGAAAGTGACATACAATACACATGAAGTTTCGATTATGACCTTTGATGTAGATAGAAGGACTTCAGATCTATAGTTCAAAACATAATACACTTTCTTACGTTTCATTACATTTTCATCGAAGTATCCAGCTGTTTTGACAAAAAATGGAAAAACGTAGCAAAATATCAGCAAAATTCCTTATTATTTTCGCATGTAAATATATGATTTCATTTGGTCAACATTAGAATGTAATTAGAGAGTCATTTGCGTTGCATCTTGAACTATACATCTGAAGTCCCTCTATCTACATCAAAGGTCATAATCGAAACTTCATGTGTATTGTATGTCACTTTCATGCATTCTTTTCTATATTTTTCAAAGATGATCAGTTTTAAAAGAATTTCGTCTGACACATTATCAGAGAAAAAGACGTCCTAACTCCTCCTCTTTCGATTGGTGAAAACCGCAGGTCTCTAGCTGTTTGCTTTCTCGAGTTATTCAAAAAATAGTCACACGCACGGACTTTTTGAACGGACTATAGCTAGTATTCTGATTTCCCATTAACTGATATTCCTAGGTAAAGAATAATATGAATTAAACCTCTGAATGGAATGAAGTTTTCGTTTCATAGGTGTTTTTCCTATGAAAGAATGTCGACTTTGCCTCATGGAATATGGATCCTGGATACTTTTATAAGAACAATGAGTCATAGAACTTATTTTGCACTAAACATTAACCTCTTCCATAAATAGAGAATTTCTTTTCTTTTTCTTTGACGTATTCATTCATGTGAAAGGCTTTTTTTCTATAAAAGTTTAAACAAGTTAAAATAACACTCATCTTGTAAAGTGTTGTTTGTACTGTACGACCATTTAAAATTCTGAATGTTCTTCCTCTATGAATGTTGATTATTTGGATAAAATGTCATAGTCATAAGAAATATTTGCTATCTCCACTTCATATTAATCTTCAACATAATTTTTCATAAGCTTGTTTTAGAGAATAGCAAAAGATATATACCGCATTGTACCAGAGTATGTAAGGATCTTCAGTAGCCGTTATCCATATGAAAAAAATCAAGTAAATTCATCAGAAGCTAAGAATTCATGAATAGAATATACACTAGTGGTGAAGTTCAGTAAATTCAAATGGATATCTGTGAATTTCGATAAATTCACTATTATATTCGTTGAAATTCAACAAGATGAATAATATAAAAAAGTTAATATATGAAATTAACTAATATCAACGAGAATCGATAGAGAAGAAACTTAGACGATGATATAAGAAAATCATGGCTGTAAATTCAAGACTCGAAAAAAATCATATATAGCACGAACTGTCTCATGAGTAAAGTCCACCAGTTTGATTCGAGGTTCGACAGGCTCTAGTTGTTACCATGGAACGATTGTTTCATTCTCTCCTAGCCCATTTGAAAACTTAATTTAAATTATTATAATTTCCATTGTCAGCATAGAACAGAAGATTTTCATAAATTGGCTCATTTTCAATGAGTGCTTTGATTGTACAATAGAAAAATATATTTTTGGTCGTTTTGTAGGATAATCTTAAATGTATATTTAAAATAGTATGGAACTGTTATTCTTTTTATTTCATTAGATCTTGCAATGATGGATTATTTTGATGATGAGAAAAACGAGAATTATTTATTATCGAATGATGATCAATCATTAAGAAATCGTTTATTAGCATTTACTACAGATCATTCATTTTGGTTTCGTATGTTCCTTTTCATCATCGTTATTACTATTTATGTATTTACAATTATTTATTTATATAAATATTTATTTATTCAAAGAAAATTTCTTGATTCATACATTAATAAGCCGTCAGCTGAAACTAAAATTGATATAATCAACAATTAAAACTACTTTTCAAGAATTGATTTTCTATTTCAATTGTATATATTTTTAATTGTACAGTAGAAAAGATTGCTCAGTTTTCTAATTATATATTGATAATCAATTTAAAAAAACCAAGCTCTAAGTTGTTTCCTGTCAAATAATATGAATAAGTATTCAATGAATTTTCTCTGCCATATCGATAAAATTAAATCTTTGATCCATGATACAATTTGATTCAATCATTTATTTTGAATAGTAATATGGCATTGCTTTGAACTAACTCTATCACTTATGTAAACTACTACTTGTTTGATTATATTAAACATGATTTGAAATTGTTGTGATAATAGATGTGGTAGAGTTTTTTTTCTAAATAAAATACTGATGTATATATTTTTTGGTTCATCCATATTTGACTTTGATAAATTTGTTTGTACAAAGAGTACGGAAAAGTTTGATGGATAATATATCAAAGAGCAGCAATTGTAAAATAAAATAATTTTTTTTTCGATGATATAAAATTAAATAATCTATACTAAATCCATTAAGATACGAGAACTTAATGTGTATTCTTTTTCTGAGTTCCAGTAAAATATTTATCAATTGAACTATGAATTAGTCTCTTTTTATTGAATTTAGATGGTAACATTCGACTGATTTTCATTCAGAACGAAGGATTTGATAAGCCCGCAACCGATAGAATACTTTAAAATTCATATTACGTTGAAAGAGAATATTCAGTTTGAAGATAATTCAAAACCATGTAGGCATATATACTTAGCCAGCCTGATATCACAAGTATTATTTCTTTATGTAATTTCAAGCCAGTTACCAGAAAAATATAATTTTTTTGGTAGTTATAGTACAGATATAATCTATAGAGGCGTAAGCCGAACATAAACCTACCATAATATATAATACTAATGGTCTGTTATTGTTTGACCTCTACGTTTATTTCTCTGATAGAGTATGATATGCACATCGAATGTTTGAATACTCATACATGTGTTTGACTATTAACTTCGAATCTGTTGTTGCTTGATAACTAGCTCTACTAAAATATTCGTTCAATTTTTGTAAAATATAGCAGACTATGAATCTCACGATAGCTTGGGGCCTAGCTTTGCATTAAATATACATATGATGTATACTTTCAAAAACTTGGGGATATTCAGCAAAAATATACCAAGTAAGGTTTTAAAGAATTAGATGCAAAGTATCTTTAACAGAATGATTGTAATGAAACAGTTGACAACTCTCTTCTCTACTAAAAGATAGAGTTCAAACAATCATAATCATTATACAGCGGATTCAAAAATGGATTATTCGGATTTAATTTCGGTTTATGTTTTCACAATAGTGACTGGCATAAAGAATCCAAATATTGATTTGGATACAGAGATTTTTTCCAACAAAGATTTCAACAAATGAAACCTTGACTGTATTTCTAAAGCCTAGTTTTTCAATACTGAGAGCCTTACGATAAAAGTTTCACTTTCTATTAAACAGAGTAATGGAGCAATTAATTCTGTAGAACATGCTCCACGATATTTTTTTTGACTCAATTACATCAATTTTAAGAAAAGCTTAAAAGCGGTTTTTTCGCTATTTCATATGGGAAAACCAGACAAAAAGAACGTTTACACCTTTCTTAAAATTGATGTAGGTCAACCGAAAAATGTCGTAGAGAGCTCGGAAACATTTCACTTTCTAGAGAATTAGTTCTGCACGCTGAAGAATCAAGTTTCGGATGTTCTAAATCCTGAATTTTGGAAATACAGCGAGGATTTTATTTTTCTGAACCCTTGTTAGAAAGAAATTTTTATATCTAAATCACTATCAGACTTCTTTATGCTAGTTACTATAGCGGAAAAAATTGAAAGTGTAGGATTAAATTTTGAAATCAAAGTGTATGTATTATAACTAGTAAGAAAACAAACAAATATTTCTGATAGTTAGCTACAGCTGTCAAAACAAATAATAAATGGCTTTTCAGGCTGGTCGAGCACGCCTAGATTTATTGATTCATGAAAGTTTGTCTATTTATTATTATCATAAACATACTAATCTTTGTTTTTCGTCTATACGATGATTATTTTCCAAAACTTTTGAAAAGAAATTTTTTAAAAAATTTAAATGGAATATTTATTTAAAAAACACCCAATATCCATGATCGTTCGACTAAGAAAAGTTTTTTATGTTTCACTTGTCTTTTGTTTAACGCCACTATCACTTATATTTAAGTTTTTTTTCATCAATCCAGCTTCGGTATTTTTATCATGCAACCATTGCTCATGTGTTCGTTGTCTCTGTTTTATTCTAGTTGATCGATATTCTTCATGTTTTTGTTCTTTGACGTTCTCGAATTCCTTTCGAGCATTAGTTTCCTCTGTTTGCTTGACTTCCAACCATTTATTAAATGCAGCTGATACTTCATTAGATGATCGATGTTTTGGTTTTTTTGGTTGATTTATTGTCGATGTCTCTTTTAAATATATTGAAGATGTTGTGGAAAGATAAGTTTTAAGACTAATCATGACTGAATCTTCGAAATTTACACGAACTGTTTCTATAACTATTTCACCTCGACCTAATCTTGTATCAATATCATTTTCTATTTTTTTTAAATCAGCTAATATTGAAATATCATTTTGTGTATTATTTCGTATAATGTTTTCTTTTTGTGGTATCAATCTTTTACGAATATTATTTAGTAATGAATGTTGTCTTGTTAATTGTCGCATAAATTCTCGTTCATGTTTTTCAATAAGTTGTTCAATTTGTTGTCTTTTTTTATTAAATATCTGTTCTATATTTGTATGTGCATCTATACGCCAACGATCGAGTTCAAAAAATGGATCGCGTTCATTTGGTCTCCAAACAGTTAAATGCTGAAGTCGTTTTGTAATTTCTTGTAGTTTACTTGTTAATGTTGCCATCAATTGTTGCGATTGTTCTTGCTTTTAAATGAAACAGCATGTATCGCGTAAGTATGAAAGAACAGTTAGAAAATAAAGCGTCCATTTAAACGAAGAACACTGCTTTTTTGCTTTTCTTGCTTTGACAACGCTTACTTAAAACATTGATTCAATGAATGAAAAGAAAAGAAATCTTGTTCTTGGATGCTGTACAAATAACTCGAAGAACATAATTTTAAAAGATACAATTTGAAAGCATATGCTCAAAAGACTTCTTCTGGTTTTTACTCATTTTTCTTATTGAAAAAAAAAATCTGTAAAACACAAAAACAAAATAAACTACATAGAAAAATATAGAATATTAAAAAACTTCTTTTTTTTAATAAAAAATCAAACATCTGATGTTCTAGAATTTGTTCCTATAAATAAACGTGTATTAAATCGATGTTGTGAAGCTTTGAGTATTTGAAATTTACGATCACATCCAAGAAAAATAAAAATAAAAATAAATTGAATACCAGCAAGAATAAAAAAATAAATATAAAATAATTCAGATTTTTCAGAATCTTTACACTAAAAATATTCAAATATTATTATAAAAAAAAGAGTTGTTTCTTTGTTCTGATTTTCAAATACCTCTAAATTTGTTACTGTAAAATTTTCATAAGCACTTTCATATATACTTATATATGCAGAACCCAAAAATGATGAAAGACCAACTGAACAAAAACGAAGACTCATTACAAGTGATTGAGCTGATTGAGGTGCAGCCAAATAAGCAAATTCAAAACTAGCTACTGAAGCAAATACTTCAGATAGACCTATACTTATATACTGTGGAAATTGATAAAATATCGACATATCAGCAGCGTAATAAGTTGCATTACCTATGATATAAAATAAGATCACTGATAACATAAAAGCGAATGAATTTGTCATTATCGAGTAAATACCAATAGTTTGTTGAAAAGACGAATCGCATTTCTTTTGACGAAATATCTCGACTATACCAGTTATACACATAGAAAGTGTAGCTGAGATCATACCAATAATCATACGTATTCTGATTGAAAAGGGTCGATTGTTAATATGAAGACGTTTATGTACACATGTGTTTAAAATCAAAATAACAACTACAAAAATAAACAGTGGTTCTTGATCAATCGTCAAGATATTTAAGATCATTTTCTTTATGAAGATGATGCTTAAGATATTCAAAACAAAAACTACGAACTGCCTATATCTTCGGAATATATTCACTATATCAAATTACTGGATAATATAGTAGTACATACGAATGATTATTATTTGATCACCAAGAGAAAGCCAAACTACAGGCATATGATTAATGTGTGATTGTAATAGTGGTATTCTCATATGAACACCTTGTATAATAAATGTTGTATTACTCTAAATAAATAAGTATAAATTAAAATAGATAAATTCTAAAGATGGTCTAGTATTCAATTGAAATTAGCCAAGAAAAGATTTTTACCTGCACATATATAAGCCAATAGGGTATTAAAAGTAGAAACATTACAATAATACGTCGAAGTGATTTAATATCATCAACAATACGATCTGGAAATCGACCATTATTTGTTCCTTTAGCATAATCAAAAAATGATATTGGTTGTTCATTCATATTAAACAATATTTGATCCTTATTATTTTCATATTGATCATTTGAAAACATGGATTCATTGGAAAGTCTACGTTCATTAGACATTTTACGAATATAGTATCGATGTTTATACCATGTTTGAAATGCATTAATTAAAACAGGAAAAAAATTAGTTATTACAGAATCATGTGGTTTTATATGAATATAACATCTATGTCCAATAATAAAAACTATCAAAGTTACAACCAGTAATATAGTTGATATTAAATAACTTATAAAATAGGATTTATTCTGTTGCACATAAGCAATTATACCAAATGCAAGAAGAGAGCCTATATTTACAGCAACATAATATTTATAAAAATATTGTGTTGTAAGTGTTTTTTCTCGAATTTGTTCAGCTCCAAATACAGCCATATTTGATTGAACTACTCCTACACCAATTGCACTAAATGAAAGCACAAAGAGTTAATCCAGGAGTGTTACAAGATCACCGAGATAAAGGAGGGGGCGAGCGATTTGTTTTTAGAATTGGTGGGTAAAAAAGGAATAAAACGCTGGAACTTCGCTGTGGAAAATCGGAAGTTTCTCGGGATTAAGAGGATTCCTCAATCGGAACACCCTGAGTAAATCATAAATTCAACTAACGTGACAATAAGTACGACCGTAATTTGAGTGCTACATTTTTCTTTGAAATATGGTGTTGACTCATCCATATAAGTTGGTGGTCCATTACATAATGTTTCATATATTTCAGCTATTGAAAATAATTGAATGAATAAATAACCAATAATATATAAAATAAAACCTATATATAATATTTAGAAACATGGATTTGAATAAAGAAGAAGTCTCTATTTGGTTTTTTTTTACCAATTAGAATTGTTTTTGCACGACCTAATTTAGCATCACTTATCCAAGAAAAAACAAGTGTTGATATATAACTTGTACCTTTTTAAAGAAATAAAATATTTATAAGATTGAATATTATTAATCGACTTATGTTACCGTAAAAAATTAATGAAGCAATTATACTATGAAATGATGTCCAACGAATAGAATTCGATGAAAGGAAAAGAACAAGATTACCAACTAATGAGAAAAATGCTAATCTTTCAAAAGCAACAGTTATTAGAATGAACCAAACAGCAAATCGTTTTTGCATTGATGTTCGATTATCTGTTTTAGGTGAAATACCAGATATGTGAAAAACTAGTGGAGATGATTCACCTATACTTGCATCAGTCATCTTAATAGAAGATTATTTATGATCAATTCTTACAAATTATTAACCATAGTACATACGTTCTTCGTTTATTGTTCCTAAATTTAAAGATATAGAAATTCAATGACAATGATTATTATAGTAGCTATAGCTATGAAGACAGTTACAGATCTTACTGATAAGATAAAAGGAAAAAAAACAAGTACTTGAATTACTTCAAGAATAGATAAATGTTTGGACAATGATTCATAAAACATTTATGTGAGAATTTAATTGGATAGTTTTTATGAAGTTTCTTAGGAAAATTTAACATAATCAATGTTTGTAAAAGTATTGAACTGAAAATTGATTATTCTCTTTGATGGAAAAATAGAATTTATTCTCCTCTTTTAGCCAACATTGATATAATTTCTTCACAAAGTATTCATTGATTAAATATGACTCTAATGAACCTTATTCCCAATCGCTTGTTGGCCACCAACAAGCAAAAAGAAGGGGCCATATGATAATTTATTTGTTGCTAATGTCGGTCTCTTTTCTTTCATCTATATTTTCTTTTTCAATCATTTCGTTGAAAATTTTCCACGAAACGATTGAAAAAGAAAAAGATGGATGAAAGAAACGAGATCGACGTTAGCAATAAACAAGTTATCAGATGGTCCCTTCTTTTTGCTTGTTGGGGGCCAACAAGCGAATTGGGAATAAGGCTCATTCACACGTTTACAAGAGAACTATTCTAACTGTACGCCGCTGTTTGAACTCATATTAGACTTATACGGAGGTCTCAGTATGATTAGCAAATTTAGGAAATGGTTCGTTTCCATGGGTCTCTAGTAGAGAGCTATGATTGTTTTACTGAATTATTGAGTTATTTTTAGGTATTTACTGAAAAACCAAAAATAACCGTCGTCCATAGATAGATCTATTGACCATTAGAATATCTTGGAAGTTTCAGCCGAAAAGAATCTTCATTTGTCAAAATATTGGATTCCCAACTAATGGTCGCTTGTAACAACAATTTTGTTTACTTGAGAATTCAATATCTTGACAAAGGAATATTCTTTTCGATTGAAATTCTCCACATATTTCAAGAATCATTATATCTATCTATCGGCAAAAATGTAGATCGCAAATTCAGTAAAACAGTCGTAACTCAGTTGTCTAGGTCTATGGGCATCAAGCTTTTTAAACTTAGGTATTAGTGAAGAATCATAAATATGAAAAGATTATTAATATAGTTATTAATTTACTATTGATTCAAACTATTGAGAGGCGTAAAACAACAAAAGTACTAAGAATAGCATTTATTTTGACCTTGACTCTTTTGTAATTACAACATATTATTCTCTTTTTCTTTTGATTCTGTTCTGTATATATGATTTTCCATATGATTGCTTTTTACTCATTAATCATTAGAAAAAAAGTGTTGATAATATAAACATAACACATAATAATGATAGTCAATCGGCATCAAAAAATCGGATTTTTTGCGTTCGATTTATTTGTCATCAATCATGATCTGATCGTTATGGTCAAGCGTATTTAATAAAATTTCTTGAATAAAATAGGTCTCATTCTTTTACCAATATGTTCAGTGTTGTAAATCTATTTAGCTGTTGATGATCATCATCTATATTCAAAGACTTGAGATGAATTTAATCGATATACTTTAGCAACTGAGAAAAATATTCAAGATTTAAATACTTCATCATCTAAGCAAAAATTTTCCTCCTCATGTAATTAGTCAGATCCGAATTTTTCTTTGCTAATTAAGAAAATAAAATTTCTCAAGTTGTTTTTCTTTATTAGCTTGATCTTTGGCATATATCTCATGTAATTACCCTTGACAATAGTTATCTTTATAATCTATGATGAAAAATGACGGAAGGCTCATCCTCATTTTTCTTGCACCTCATTATCGTCATGTGAATATCGTTGTCATTAGATGAATTTTGGTCTATTTTCTTTTTCATTGTAAACAAAAATCAAAAATTCCCATTAGACTTTCTTATAAATGACTAACGATAGAATCATTGTTACAATCACAAAAAAACAAAACTAGTAGCAAACAATTACTGTCATTTAGTATTCGTATGCGATTGAAATGATGATAAATGGAATGGTGTTTCTATTCAATATGTTTTGTTATTTGATAGATTTTATGCAAGACCAATCTATAATTTTTTTTAGTATTTAATTCTATTGTTGTTAAAGCAGACGAAAACTTATTTGATTATTCTTTGATTCAAAATTGATGGTCTTTCTTTTTTTATGCGATTTTGTGTTACTATGTTGATAAATACTATTACCATTTTGGAATCCTTGACTATGAGATGAAAGATTACACTTTGCGTCGATATTTTCAACAGCCGTTGTTTTATCTGCATAGACGTACGAGAGAACCTTTCTTAGGCTCTTTATCGACTATGATGCAGCATTATCAACAAATGCGATCCCAGTAAGGACATCCGACTTCGAGAAAGGTTTAGCTATGTAACTCTTGTTTGCGACGTATATCAAGATATGCATAGAAAAAGAATATTGAAAGATTTTTTTTTCTATAGTTTATCCTTTATTAGAAGCATCAATATCCAAATGTGTGTTCTACTAATTTTAGCAGACAATTTATAAGCTTCTTGTATTGATTAGAAATGTTGTATAATTTTTAATAATCTCATTGCTTTCGATATCTAACAAGAACTCCACATTATATAGAATATAAACTATCTCAGGACGTTTTCTTATTAAAAAGCATTAATCGAGTTTTGATTTTTTTATTATATATAGCAAAAGATTCATTATGCGTCACCCGTTACAAACAAAAAACAAAGTCAAATAATATTAGATATATATATATTTATAGTTTTGATGTATGAATGTCGATAAAGATAACGGGTGACGCAGGAAAAAAAAATATATGTATAAAAAAAGAAAACACACTCACACAAATAACATCAACAACAAACAGAACACATACGTATAAAGACACAAGGAAAAAAGAAGAAGAAAGGTTCAAATTTTAAATCATTGGGCTTGATGGAGAAAGTAAATCAAATGAAAGTACATTTTGTTGTTGACATGTTGATAATGATGTATCAAATAGATGGTGATGATCATTACCAAATTGATTAAGAAATTGTGTCAAATCAGAATTATTATCATCATATAGATCATTAACTATTGTTGGAGATGTTATCATTGGTAACCAATCCATATGTGTATTAGGAGATGATGATACATATGAATTGGTAGGATTTGTTAGAGAATCATCTGCATGTAATGGTAATGTTGAACTAGAATCTTAAAAAAAAAATAAAATTTGCTTAATGATATTGTTATGTTAAATATATTTTACCAGGAAAATCATCCAATAGACTTAAAATTGCATCGTCATCGACTAATTTTGTTTCAGTATTTGTCTGAGAAAAAAAACAAAAAATTATTGATTTTTTGTTTTTTCTTTTAATATTATTATTTTACCGCATGACATGTATCATAATAATTACTATCCATAAATGTTGGAAAAATTGGAGCTGACATTGAATGATGTATTGACCATGGATGATTATCTGACGTTTGTGGTTGAGTTTGATTTGCAAGAAATTGTGCTACAGATTCAGGTGTTAAAGGAACAATAGAATGTTGTTGCTGTTGTTGTTGTTGTTGTTGTTGTTCATCATGAATTTTTTGTTTTAATTTTTCTTGTTGATGAATAAGTACACCTAAAAATTTGAACAATTTAACTAATTGATCGAAAAGAAATTTTTAGTATTTTTGTTTACGTTTTTGTAGTTCCACAGATACAATTGGATTACATTTTTGTGGAATCTGGAAATTAAATTTTCAGTGGTTTTTTTTTGAAAAACACTTTACAAAAGAAAATTGTTTACCGTTATTGAATTGTCAACATGTTGAATAAGATGTGATGCTTGAAGTGAAAAAGAATCAAGTTGTTTTAATTTTTGTAATTGATTTTCTAATTCAATAATTTTTTGTTGTTGCTGTTGATAAAGTTCTTGATCACTTAATGAAGATGTTGGTACTATTAAAAAAAATCAATTCGACACATTTTTTGTTTTCTTATGAGATGAATTTTTTGCAAAACAAAAAAAAAAGAACAATCTTGTTTTCAGTTAATTATTTTTGTTTAGTGGCAGATATTCAAGAACAAAGTCTCTTAAGGATGTAAGCAGAACTCTCATGAGAAGATTACCTGTTTTCTTCGTGGTCGTACGTGATGGAAGAAATTAAAAAATATAGACTCCTGCTGGAATGTAAAAAAAAAGGCTTATTTCGACCAGCTTTTCATTCTCGAAAGTGTTTATAACACTTATCTGATTAGAAAAGCATATTATTCTTCAGATAAATTGGAAAAAGGAGTCTATAAAGAACTTTGTAAAAGAAACATATTTCATATTGTTTTTGATTAATGTTGAAACTTGTTTTATCCCAAGACATAAGAAAAAAGAAACATATTGTTTTCTTCTCTAAAAATTTCATTACAGGATTTCTTTAACATTCTTAAAGTAAATGATAAATTTGCTTGGTTTTCTCATCTAAAAATTCCAAACTATTGAATTTAAATTTAAACATTATTTACTTAAGAATGTAACGGATGATGTTGATGGATTTGTCATTTGCGTTGAAGATGATTCAGTAGTTATTGTTTGTGATGGAATAATTGTTGTATCTAAAGTGATGAAATATATTTATTGTATTTGTTTTATTTGTCTTACCTGACATGTTGACTTTAGCATTTCTTAATTTTTCAATTAATTTCATTTTAGTACCTGTCGTACTTAAATTTAATTTTCTACATTCATTTTTTAAATCAACTAATTTCATTTTTTCAAATGTTTGAATATCATCAGATATTGTTGTTAATAAATTAACATTATCATCAATAGGTTGTTGAAGTAGATTACCTATTGGATTATCATCATTATTATTATCATGATTACTATTATTGTTATTATTATTATTATCATCAATTTTATCATCATTTTCCGTTGTTTTATTATCAT